GCAGCGCCTGCCTGCGGCCTCTGGCACCAGCTCTGCGGAGGGGCCCCCGCAGGCACCGCTCATGGCTCTGTCCTCGTCCCCAGAGCGAGTACATATCGGAGCGGGATGCCCGCCTGGCCTGGGTGAGCGGCTTCACCGGCTCCGCAGGTGAGAGCGTCCTGTGCCACCAGCCAGCTCCCCACGGAGGTGGCCCCATCCCCATCCCTGGGGTGCCCCCCTCCACACCAGTGGTCCTGCGCGGTGCAGGAGGAGGTGCTGGGGACCGGGACTGTCCCCGCTCACCCCCGGGGGAAGAAGCAATGCCCGGGCCCCCTGTCCCCTCCAGGCACTGCCGTGGTGACGCTGCACAAGGCTGCCTTGTGGCCTGACAGCCGACACTGGCCGGGAGGCCAGATGGACTGCAACTGGGAGCTGCACAAGACGAGTCAGTGCAGGGCAAGCTAGGGAAGCCAGCAGGGTCTACTCACCCCTGGCCACCCTGTCCACAGCCACAGCTTCGTCCGGGCCCAGCCATGGGTCTGGGGAGCCAGGGACAGCTCCTGGGGCCCCACAGTGTCACCCAGCTCTCTCATGCAGCCTGGATTGAGTCCATCGGGCTGTGGATCCTGGAGGCAGTTCCTGCAGGAGGGAACGTCAGCTTGGACCCCTTCCTCTTCTCCATCGGTAAGGTCACCCACGGCACAACACCTGCCTGTGCTCAACCTGCAGCACCCTCCCACCAGGATGCAGTGAGCCCAGGTGGCAGCGAGGTGACCCTTGCTGTGTGCCCCTAAGCGCTGGCTGCTCCCCACCTCAGACACCTGGAGCAGCTACAGTGAGGCTCTCCACGGCTCCGGCAGGACCCTGCTTCCCATGGAGACCAACCTCGTGGACCAAGTGTGGACTGACCACAGACCCCCTCCAGCCTCCAGCAAGATCTACAGCCTCCCGGCAGAGTTCACAGGTGCAGCCACCATCTTTCCCAGGGGGACTGGGCATGTGTTTGCTGTCACTTGGCACCCCCCAGCCCAAGGGGACCTCGGTAGACCCCAATGCTGAGCTGAGCTCTCACTGTCCTCGCAGGGAGCAGCTGGCAGGAGAAGGTGACAGGCATCCGGCAGCAGATGGAGCAGCACGTGCGGAGCCCCACTCGGGGCGGGAGGAGCCGGCCTGTGCGCAGCCAGCACAGCCACCTCCACGGCGGGGCCCCAGCCACCCCGCTGCCCATGGACCCTGCCCTGACGAGTGACAGGGCCAGAGGGGTCCTGGGGAAGCCGGTGAGCACAGGCTCTGACATCTGGTTCTTGACAGGGCTCTTCAACCTCCGTGGAGAAGACATACCCTACAACCCTGTCTTCTACTCCTACACGCTGCTGACCAGCACCAGCATAAGGTGGGCAGCGTGTCCCCATGGGGTGGTTGACACTTGGCTCTCGGCTCTCTTCCCTTCTGGGAACAGCACCTAAGATGCACCTAGGACCCAGCTATCCCCTCCCCACATGCCCGCCATGTCCTGCAGCGCCCAGCCCCAGCGTGTTCCCCTGCACGTCCCACATCTTACCCAGGTCCATCCTCCCACCTCAGCCCCTCTGCAGCCCCTTGCCCAGTGCCTAGCACCCTCCTCCCTACCGGTGCCTCATGCACAGATGGGGCTTGGAGGCCAAACAAGCCATGGTCGTGCCTGCCCAGCTGCACACCTTGTCCCCAGGCTGTTCGTGGACGGGACACGCCTCACGGCGGAGGCTCAGCAGTCCCTGCAGGAAGGCTGCCCGGGGCCCCTGTGCGTGGAGCTGCAGGAGTACGAGCAGGTGCGTGAGCACGTCCGTGCCTATGCCCAGGGCAACGTCACCATCTGGCTCGGCACCGAGTACACCACCTACGGCCTCTATGGAGTCATCCCCCAGGTAAGGCACTGCCAGGTCCACCAGAGAGACCTGCCCAAGCCAGGTCAGGGCCACGGAGCCTCACTGCTGCGGACATGGGCTGTGCCCGGACTCAGAGCCAGCACATGCCATAGAGCTGTGAGGACATGGGACATGCTGCAGCAGTCCTCAGGTTGGGCAGGGCGGCTGGCCATGCCCGGTTGTGCCATCCCCAGGCTGCCTTTGCAGGAGAAGCTCCTGGAGGACAGCTACTCCCCAGTGATGACAGCCAAGGCTGTGAAAAATGCCAAGGAGCAGGAGTTACTGCGGGCCGCTCATGTAAGGCTTTGACCTATCTTGTCTGTCAGGAGCAGAACTAGGGCATCTTGAGGCCCTCTGGGATGCCAGTTGGCTCCCTCTGATGCTAGTGGGCTGCCCGCAGGTGCGGGATGCTGTGGCAGTCATCCAGTACCTGCTGTGGCTGGAGAAGATGGTCCCACAAGGGCTGGTGGATGAGTTCTCAGGGGCACAGCACGTGGATGCGCTCCGCCAGTGAGGGCCGCCGGCCCACGGCCGGCC